CGTACCCCCGCCCAACGCGCCGCCGCCGCCCGTTGGCGCCTCAGCCCGCGCGCCCGCCGCCCGCCGGCTCCCGGCGCTTCCCGCTGGCAAAGTTGCTGGGCCTCTTCAGGAGGGCGCCGCACCACCCCTCAGGCCGCCGCGCGGGAAGGCCCAGCCGGCCGCCCCGCTTTTTTACCTGACGGGAGTTTTCGCGCGCGCGCTTGCTCGCTCTCCCCGCTCGCTCACACGCTCGCTCGCTGGTTTTCTTTCTTTCCTTCTTTGCGCTCGCCCGCGCGGGGCGCCTTTTCCGCTCGCGCTGCTCGCGCCCTCCTTCCTGCTGGGCCCGGCAGAGCGGGGCGGCCGGCAGCTCTCCCCGCCCCCCTGCACCCGCGCTCCGGCGGAGGCGGCGGCGGCGGCGCTCCGCGCTCCGACTCATTCCAATATGGCACGGACGCAAGGCGCATGCGCCCGCGCCCCCCCCCACTCCCCCTCAGCTCCGCGGTCCTCCGGGCAACCGGCGCCCCTCGCCTCGCGCGCGTGGCACTCCCCACCCGGCCTCCCCGCACCCACCGGCTCGCGGAGCTGGAGCTGCACGGCAGACGACGCGTCCGTGGGCCCGGGTCCATAACCCGCCGCTTTTCCCGCGTCCCCCATCCGCACCTCGCAGAAGACACCCGCGAGGCCGTGGCGCTGGGTTTGCGCGGCGTGGGCCTCTGATCCCCGACGGCGCCATGGACCGAGTACGGCTTGGAAAAGCGTCCTCGGGCTCCGGGGGCGCGTCCTGGCCCTGCTTGGATTCTGGAGAGAAAGACCTCACCTCGGCTTCTGGACAGAGCAGCTCGGGACCCGGCGAAGTCCCCTGATCCATCGGTCCCAGGCGAAGCGCGCCACTGTGGCCCGCACGTGACCACCTCGAGCAAGATGGTATTAGCAGAGAGGCAGCAGTTCTGCAGGTCCCTAAAGGGCGCGTGCGGCTGCCGAGGGAGCTGCGCCCGCTGGCCGGGCCACGTCGGGAATCCTACACGTCCTTTGAGATCTAACAGGGCACTCTAGTGCCGGTCTACCGAGTCCAACTCGAACGCCTCTATATATACCTGATGTCCAGGCTTCGGAGAGGCGCTTTGTAAATCAGTTTTCTCCAGCAAAGGGGCATAGGATGACCTAAGAAATTCAAGAGAAGCTCAGAAATGCTGTGAATCAGCCTCGAATCCGAAGGTGCCCACGGGCAGTTCCGTTTGGATACTCATTCCTTCTTCCGCAAGCACAGGAGTCAATAGGATGCACACCCACCTGCTCCAGAAAGTCCCCTCAGAGAAAATTCCAGCGCCAGGAGTGCCAATGAGACCAGACTCTCCAGCCTAAGATGGCCTCAGTCAGGGATCCTACTAAAGGAAGGCTCTTGCCTTTGAGAGAAGAGGAGGCGCCCACACACATACAAACACATGAATGGGATGGGGGACGGTCACACTAGGCATCTTTCTCTTGTTTTGGGCAACCTTGGGAAATACACACATTACAAACACCAGATGATTTTTCTTTTTGTAAGTGTAAGCACCATTGAAAAGACAAATTAACAGGAAAAAAAATAATGTAAAAACAATATTCAATTATTGCTACACAATTTGAGTTCTCCCCAACCGAAAAAAAAAAAAAAAAACTTCTACATGGATCTTACCTTGATATACTTGCAAGTACACGTTTTCTTTTATTTGCTACTTTGACTAACATGTTTTGTTTGCATGGTCGTTTTTAAGGTATACAGTTCCTATTTTGGTGTATTTTATTTCATTGCCATTATCTGCTAACACATCCATGCGGTCCACGGGTGAGCTGAGTTCCTAGGAGTGGGAAAGTTCAGGTGGAAAGCTGTGAGTGGCCCTCTATTGCCCCAGTTCTTTCACCAGCAAGAAAGAGTGTAAGGAATTTAATGCACATTTCTAAACACCCAGTGACATCTTTTCTCCCCTGCATTAACGATGCCTAGTAGTAGTTTAAGGTTACCTTATTTGGCACTTCTTGGATGACTAAACATTCAAAATTTCCCCGTTTGCTATCTGTATTTCCCCTTCTGTACATAACCTGTTGTTCATATCCATTGTCTTGAGGGGTTGAATCTCTTCTAACTTTTAAAAAAAAGTCTATTTTTTTCTTTTAAAGATCTTTCACTTTTGTTATTGATGGGAACATTGCCCCCCCCCCGCTCTTTTTTGTTTTAGTTTACAGTTCATCTGTCATTCTAGTCCTCTGGGTGTTTTTGACAAGGGTCAATTTCTACCATGAGAACCTTTTTTTTTAATAGGGTTGACATGATCATACACATTCTAGGGTAATTATATAAGGATTAAGAGCATTGGTTTCAGGGCTGGAGAGATGGCTCAGCAATTACCAATGCATATTGATGACCCTTGCAGGAGACCCAAGTTCAATTCCCAGTGCCTACATGTAGTTCACCAGTGACTAATGCCTCAGACACCAGCACTCACACGTTCATGCCCACACAGACACATAAGTAAAACAAAAAAAAAAAGCCCTTTAATTTCAGCACTTGGGAGTCAGAGGAAGGCGGATCTCTGGTCTACAAAGTGATTTCAGGTCAGCCAAGACTGTAAAACCTAGTCTCGAAAAAAACAAACAAACAAACAAACAAATAAATCTAAAAAGAGCATGGGCTTTGAGAGTAAACAAGGCTCAACACCGAGCAGCCCTGTGACCTGAAGTTACTGCCTAGTCAGGCCTTTCATTTGGGTCGGTCAGTGGAGATCGGGTAATAACACCTCACAAGTTCAATGGGTGGCGCATAGTAAATGCTTAATGTTAGTTACTGTTGTTATCATGTGTTCTGTTCCAGAGAAGCAAATGCATGGGAATGTCACAGTGAAACCGTGTCTTTGTACACTAACACTTACAATGATGGTAATAATAACTGTAGCCAGAGGTGGTGGTACTAAGAGTAGTAGTGGTAGCAGCAGCAGCAATAGTAGTGGTAGCAAGGTTGGAGCTGGAAGTGGAGGTGTATGGCCTGTAGTTCCAGCACCTGGAGATCCCAGAAAGAAAGTCATGAGTGCTGGGCCAGCCAGAACTACGTAGCAAAACTCTATCTTTAAAAAAAAAAAAAAAGATGTATACCAAGATGGGTTGCACAGGCCTTTAATCCTAACAATCAGGAGGCAAAGGCCGGCATATCTCTATTCATTTAAAGCCATCCTGGCCTATATAGCAAGTTTCAGAATAGCCAGTGCTAGCTACATGGAGAGGCCCTGTCTCTTCCCACCCCACCCCCCAAAGTTGCAACTGACATGGAGTTGAGTTAATATAGGAACTGGCTTTGACAGATAAAATACTCTATAACATTTCATTTTCCCAACCAGGACCTATACTGTCTTTCAGTTTATTCAAATACAAATTTCCAGAAGCCAACTCTCTTGTTGCCTCCAGTGTTTCTCCACTGCTCACCTCTTGACCCCTAATGATGAAGGGCAAGGAGCCACAAGGAACTCCTTAAACTATCATCTGAACACCTGTCATTTGTTATACGTGTGTGTGTGTGTGTGTGTATACCCCTTCCAAGGTCCCTCTGGATGGGCTATGTGTACATTCTATACAGCAAACTAGGAGCTTTCAAGCCATCCTCAATGAGAGACAGAGCTAGGCCACAAGGGGTGCCAGTTCCTTGACTCTTTTTAAACGTTTTAAATGTATTTATGGAGGAGGGGTGAGTGTGCCACAGCACCCACATAGAGGTCAGAGGACAGCTTAGGGAGTTGGTTCTCTCCTTTGACCATGGGGATTTTGAGGACTGTATCAGATCCTCAGGCTCCCAGCACCTTTGCTCACTGAGCCCCTCACCAGCCCCAGCTCCTCAACCTTCCACCACTGGGAAACTTGGATTGGGGGTAAGTCATAGAAGAGACATATGGAGACGGATAACTTAGGACAGCCTGGTTTATGAACATGATACCCTCCTCATAAAGGTTCACCAATGTTTCCTGATGCACTGTAATTCTGAGAGCTTTGCTTCAAGATGCTGTGAGATTGGCCCCACCTGCCTTCCACTTTGTCCCACTCACCTACTTGATCTGCTGCTGTACTTGTCAGCTTGATCCCCAGAGGCAGTAGGTGCTGCACCCCCACCAATTTCCTTTCCCTTCCATGAGTACACCTCAACCCTTCCTACCATAGGGCACTGGCACCCTCTCCATCCTGCCCCCTGCACCCAACTCCACATAGTTATGACCATCTCATAGTTTCAGGATCTCTTTAATGAAGTGATTTCCTTAGGCCCCTGCCTACTCATCTACATGTGTGAACCAAGCCTTCCCCCCTCTCTCCCTCTTCCCTCCCTCTCTTCTTTCTTCCTTTATCTCTGCTCACTCCATTGCCGGTTAATATCTTCATTGTCATTTGCCTCTCTCTGTTTCTCCAACCCCTGATGAAGACAAAAGTCGCCCTAAGAGAAGAGACATGTTTGACTCGCCACTGTGCCTGATCCCCTGAGAGACGATAGTAGATAAGACAGCTAGTATGCTAAATGTTGGCACTCAGGAGCAGAGACGGGTGCTGGGCATTAGTGGCACATGCTTTTAATCCCAGCACTTGAGACGCAGAGGCAGTCAGTCAGATCTCCAAGTTTAAAGCCAGCCTGGTCTACAGAGTGAGTTCCAGGACAGCCAGAGAAACCCTGTCTCGAAAAACTGGAAAGGTAAGAAAGCAGAGACTGGCATACTCCAAGGATCCTAGGCAACCCCCAGCTTGGTCTCCACTCTTCACCGGCTCTGTGTGGTGACCTGCAATAAATACCATGCCCTCAACAAGGGGTCTTGGCCTTTTTCCATCTTATGCAAACATCTCTTCCCAAAGCTGAGTCTACTCATAGGCAATAGATATTAAGTTAGAGCCTTGTATCAAGTGAGAATGTGAAGTCTGGACCCAAAGAACTGAAAGCATCCTGATCCATCAGATCTTTTCCAACACAAGATCCTCAAGTCTGCTATGATCTGCTGTGAACAGCCAGAGGTGTACCACTGGCACTGACCAATCTACTCCCTGTAATCACCCCCAAGAGAGGCAGGTTACACAGTGACTTCCGAGGTGATTAGTAGGCAGATCACATAGTGACTTCCTGTGGCCAATCACACGTGGCCAATAGCAGGTGATTGCTATCAAAAAGTCTTGCTGATGCCCAGATGGCTTGGATGGCCCTGCTGCCCTGGAAGTCACAGGCCATTGCTTAGTGACCTCTCACACCTACCCTGCTCCAAATCCTTGACTTGGCACCTGCAAACATGCCACCACCTCCACTCTCCGCACCATGTGAATGGAAAAGTAGTAGACGT